CCACACCCCCAAGGAGACTCCCTTTCATCTGATTGGCTACTCACAGTATATTCAATCATGGGAGTGATTACATTAAAACACTGAGAATCATGGCCCAGCCAAGTTGACACACAATCTTAACCATCACAAAGGGAGAAACTCAGTTCTTATTCATGCTCCTACTCACCACTTTGCTAAGTTATGGGGCATGTGGAGTAAAAAAATAAATAAACTTTTCCTCAAGGAATTATTTTCACTTCCTCATCTTCTTATGAAGGAGCAGGGATAGAATGGGGAGGGAAGAGGGTATACAGAGTACTGATAGAGGCACTGCTGGCTGAACTCCCACTCGGAATTCTCCCAGCAGCAGCAGCAGCAGGAGGGAAAAGCCAACATTGAAACAGCCATCCTACAGACTGACCAGGTAAGACTTTAAGATTTGTTGATTAATTGCAATCAGCTTCTTGGGAACCCCTTTACCAATTTGCTAAGCTTGTCCGTATTTCTTTTCTTCCCCAGAGCTATTTTCCCAATCTTCCAGTCTCTTCTAAACCAAAGATTTCGTTTTAAACTCACAGTAGAACAAAAAGGGATATATACATGTATATTTAATGTTATTTTATGTATTAGTCCATGTTTGAGAATCTTATTTCTTTAAAATGAAATTTCTTTGAATCAAAATGCAAGGCAAAATTTTCCCAGGTGTTATCTTAAGCAAGTACCTAGTACAGTACAAATTCAGTATGTTATGGCTGAAAGAATGAAAAATGAATTTATAGTCCACAACCAAAGAACTTAAAGTTGGATAATTGTAGTGGAAAAAATAAGAAAAAGATATAGCCAAAGTGAGTGACACTTGGGACCCTGCCCTTCATCAATGCCAGCTAGGTAAATCCTTGAGTGCCTAGTGGTATACAAGGATTTAAGTATCCCCAACTGAGCTCATTGAGAAGAGACATGATATACCATTTATTTTGTATTACTTGGTACTGTGCCAAGTCTGAAAATGCTCTCTTATATACAGAATATCCAGGAATCAGAAATATCTGAAGCCTCCAATGTTCAAGAAAACTAGGTATAGTTCATATTCATAAATATTTCAATTAACTCTTGTGATTGTCAATTGCTTCATAGAGTAGGCAAAGTATGTAATTACCAGTTTTAACTTACATATTACAAGATCACACTGCTGGCATTAAAACCTGGTTCCAGATCCACCCTTCTACTAATGACTGTCACAGAAACACAGGTTAATAAATAATTTCTTTTATAAGGATCAGCACAAAGCTGGTTCCTATGAGGCGGAGGTTAAAGATGTCCCAAACATCCAGCTTTTCCAAGCTGCTGTACCACTCCATCATCTCTAACATCGGCTACCGCCTCTTCCCTCAGTACTCTCCCTCCTGTCTTCGGGTTCACTAATTCACTGCAACATCTCACAAAACCCACAAACCATATAAAGGAAATGGCTCACGTGGTTGTGGAGGCTGGCAAGTTGCAAATTCAACGTTAAGCATAGGCTTCTCCCTGGCCTCACAGTCTCTGCCCAAAGGCACTTAGCTGCCCATGGGCTGGGCAGCTCACTGTGCCATCTCCTGCGTCTTTCCTGCAGGACTCTCCTACCGGTATCTCCTTCTTGGTGGTTGTGGGCTCTTCTCTTTCCTGCCTCTGGGGTGGCTAATTTCAAGCCCAGTGGGATGACAAAACTGACCAATCTCCTTGGTGGGCCACGATTACCCCATCACACAGTTCCACCCAACCACCTGGGTGGGAGTTACAAGACCGTGGCTAGAAAGGCCACACAAAAAGGAATCCATTACACCACAACAGGATAGTAGAAATAAAAGGACCTTTAGAAACTATCTATTTTTTAAGATGAAGAAAACCGAGGCCCAGAAAGCGGTCACATGACTAATTAGCTGCTCCTACTAGAAGCCACAGTTGCCTGATGCAGTCCGTATCTCTCCCTTTGGATATCACTGTCTGCACACTCACACACGAATAATTTTTCTTAAAGTTTTTGCCTTCTTGAAACTCTGTTCTTGTTAGTTGTCATCTAGTTGACTAGTTGACTCTGACTCATGGTGACCCCATGTGTGCAGAATAGAGCTCTTTAGGTTTCCAAGGCTGTGACTTTTCCAAAGCAGATCACCAGGGCTGTTTTCTGAGGCACCTCTGGGTGGGTTCAAACCGCCAACCTTTTGAATAATAGTCTTGAAACTCCAGAGGTCTGAAAAAACTCCAAGGCTTCTCACAGGCCAGACCAAGTTTTATTTGGCCCTTTGTGTTTAAAAAAAAAGCGGGGGAGTGGAGGAGGGGGTGGCAGGGGAGGTTAAGGGGTGGTAGGCAAATGCTCTCAAACTTTATTTTGCAACCCCATGTGGCAAAAGCCTTCATCCATCTTAAGGAAGAGATACTATGACATAGTAGAAAGAGCACAGGACTTTTTGAGCATATCCTGATCTGGGTTCAAATCCTGACTGTACACTGTCTAAGAGTAATAAACGCTTACTCTATTAAAGTAAAGCAATGAGATTTACTGCAGCTTTGGTAACAGTCCAGACTGGGGAAAACGTCTAATTTTACAAAGAGAACAAACGCTTCCAAAATGGCAAAGCTGTGGAGACTTTTTAAAGGGTGAGAACAAAGGACTTGAGCTGTACTATTTTGATTAGACATTACAAACTTAGATTAATATAAGGCAGGTTACTGGAAGTGGAGCTAGGAGGGGTAAGGTCACAGGACATTTCTCCTAGAAACAGCTTGCTCAAGTGAAATTTTTGTCAGCAGCTGCCTGGGAGACCTAGGTAAGAGTCAGCAGTAAGGACTTCTTCCTGAGACATTGTTTCAGGAAGGGTCTTGATAGCTCCTGTGGAATAATTTATATATATTAAAAGAAAGGCAAGATGGAGTAGGGCCCCAAACTCTAAAGCAGCCATTTTACTTCAGTCAAGTGCCTCAGTTTATTTGCTTACTGAACACTTACTAGGTATATGGCTTTGGCCCGGACACTTCTTTGAACCTGTTTCCTCATCAACAAGACGGATATAATTCGGGTTTGATGTGAGGATTTGAGAGGAAAGTATGTCTGGCACACAGCCTAACACTGATAATTATTTGCTGAATAAATGAAAAACACAGCCGATACTCAATAAACGGTGATCATACAGGATTGACTGTTCCCATCTCGTACGGAGCTACAGAACTGAAACCTCTTTCGCCTCCCTCCGCCCTCCGAGGCCTGATACTCAGCCCGGAGATCGGCCCATATTTTCTCAGCCTCAACGAGTGCCCAGTCCATGACCCGCCAGGAGTACAGTGGTTTTGGAGCCTTGCTTCGCCTTCTCTTCTCTCCCCTTCCTCTCCGCAATGACACTACTACAGGGGGAGCTTCCCCTGCCGTTAGCGTCCAGCGAGGATTAAGCACTTCGCTTTTCTTATCCTTTTTATCTCTGTTTTCCGGTTCTAATCTCTCAGTTTTCCGGTTCTAGACCTTGTTCAGCAGCTTCAGGACACCACCCTCCCGCGTCCAGGCCATACCACGCCTCTCAAACGACGCCAGGTCGGCTGGCTACAGTTTGGATAATACCTCGTTGCCTAAGAAACAGGGGAGGGGCTTGGGAAAGCGCAGGCAGGCGCCGGCTTTGCGCAGGCGCTTGGGCCATGACCTTCGACTATCGCGAGAATAGCCTACCGGAAGTTCCACGTCAGTCAGTCGGCGGGTCAGCAGGTTGGTGGGTCTTTCTGGGCCTGAGTCGGCGGTAGCAAGCGAGGGCCCTTGGACCTGGACGGACGGAGCCATGGTAGGTCCAGGCCCCGCAGGTGGAAGCGGGGCTCCGCCAGGTATAGCTAGCTGGCTCCTGGGGCTCCTGGGCTGGGGTCCGCAGTAAGCAGCGGCCTGGGCTCGTGGTGTGGCCTTGCCAGGTCCTGGTCAGGTATGCGGCCTGAGAAGTTGGAGAAGGCTCTGGGGCCAGGAATCCAAGGTGGTTTGTTGAGGCAGTCCCTGCAAGTGAGGGATCTTTGACTCCCCTGGCGCTTGTCAGAGCCCCTCCGGTCTGCAGTGGGGTCCGTGGTCCTGGCAATCCAAGAGGCAGAAAATGTTGAGCTTTGTAAGAAGCTTTGGTAAAGTTATTTCATTCTGCCCTTAAAACGATGGCAGCTAATCTTGCGTTCAGGTTGGGTTTGTTTCTGGTATAGTGTATACCAAAACAAACAAACAAACAAAAAAACAAGCCAGTTGCCTGCCGTCGAGTCTATTCCAACTCATAGCGACTCTATAGGACAGTGTAGAACGCCACATAGGGTTTCCAAGGAAAGCTTGGTGAATTCGAACTGCAGACTTTTTGGTTAGCAGCTGAACTGTTAACCACTACGCCACCAGGGTTTTTAGGTAGAGTGTCTGCTGACCACAAACTACCAACTTAGAGAAGCTAAGAAAGTAAAGAAAATGTTATGTGGAGTCAAAAAGAGAATTTTAAGTGCTTTAGGATCCCAGCTCTTAGATATCTGGTGGGAAAAGAGTTGGGGAGGGGAGTTCATAAAACTGGCTAGTGTGCTTTTCTGCATTTGCAAGTATAAGTGACTGGTAAGAAGGGCAGTACGACTGCACTTTCTCATTATCACCCTCACCCTCGAAAATGCCCTAAAATACAGGAAAAGAAATACAGTAGTGTGAGAAAATCTTTTCAGAAAAATGTAAGAGTCAATATTTTATATTTAAACGTTTTCCTGCCGTTTTACTTGTTAGAAAGCACAGGATCAGTGATTTTAAGCTTGGAGACCTTAGGGATTAATAAATCCAAGTCCCTCATCTTGCAGTTAAACAAAAAACCCTGAAAGTTTATACAGCTGATTGCGGGGGAGTTGGTACTAAAATGGAAGTTCTAAAAAACCCTGAAAGTTTATACAGCTGATTGCGGGGGAGTTGGTACTAAAATGGAAGTTCTTGTCATCTTTTATGGATCATTGATCCCTTGGAGAAACTGAAAAGAGTGATGAGTACTCCCAGAAAGATGCATAAAAGAACATAAACAGTTTTACATAGAATTTCATTGGGTACAGCCTCTAGGAAATCCTATGGGACACTTCTACTCTGTCATATAGGGGCAGAATCGACTTGATGGCACATAACAACAACAACACACACACTTCCCATCCCCAGCCTCATCTGTGGACTTTCTTGTATTTCTAGGTTAAGAGGCCCTGAATGAGACCTCAGATCTATAATTATACCAAATAAGAAGAATGAACAAATCTGTCTTGTAAGAAGTACAAGGCCTCTGGTTTGAGGTCTGCTGTGCTTGCTGTGACATTTTTGGAAAAGGTCCTTGGATCTGCCTAATTTCGTTCCTTTTGCAATCTTTATAGTTAAAATGTATTTCCATAATGAATTATCACTTCCTTCATTCTTTAACAAATTCATAATTTTTTGTATAGGATGAAAAATATAAATTCATTCATTCTTTGATTTACCAGAGAGCATTTATTACATGCCGTGTATTTTGTTAAAACTCGCCTTCTTCCCTAATTGTCACAACAGCTGTGAGATAGAGCTATAAATAATGTTTATTGACTGCTTACTATAAGCTAGGACTGTTCTAAGGGCTTAGCGTTGAATTTAATTCACATAACGCTAAGCAGTAGATAATAGTACTATCCTTGTTTTATATATGTTGAACCTGAGAGAGATTAAGTAAACTTGCCCACTACTGCCCATCTAAAATTAGTTGTGGAACTAGAATTTGAATCCAGGCAGCATGACTTTCTAGACTTGAGTTATACTAACTATCCTCAACCCCCCATATCCAAACATAAGGTGTGGAGATAAAGACACTTGCCTACTCTAGTAAGCAAGAGACATGTACAGAAATGTAGCATGAATAATTGAAATCCTATAGGAAAGGGAAGGATACAGCTGGCTTAGGTCATCAGAAAGGTCTTATTAAGCTGAGTCCTAAATCCATGCAGCTTTGGGAAAATGGAAATGGAAGGAGACGTTTAGAGTTGAGGGTTCTGTATAAGCAAGACCAGAATCCTTTCCTAATGAACCTGTCCAATACAAGTACAATAGAAATGTCACTGCTTGTACCTCAGATACTTTGTGACAGTTTTGTTTGTTTCTAGAAATAATACAGTTAATGAAGTGTAGAGAAGAGGAGTGATCCGGCATATTCAGGGAACAGGGAATATTGAGTAGTTAATTTGATTAGAGTGTAAAGTTCATGCAGGGGCAAGGTAGGAGATAAGTCTAGAAAGGTAATTTAAAAAAAAAGAGGGAATTAGGAAATAGATTTTCCAGAGCCTTGTTGTTGTCGTTGTTAAGTGCCCTCTAGTCAGTTCCAACTCATAGTGACCCTACGTACAGCAAAACAAAACATTGCCTGATTCTGTGCCATCCTCACGGTCGTTGTCATGCTTGAGCCCATTGTTGTAGCCATGTGTCAGTCCATCCCGTTGAGGGTATTCCTCTTTTTTGCTGACTCTCTACCAAGCATGATGTCTTTCTCCAGGGACTGGTCCCTCCTGATAACATGCCCAAAGTATAGGTGATGAAATCTTGCCATTCTTGCTTCTAAGGAGTATTCTGGCTGTACTTCTTACAAGACAGATTTGTTCATTCTTCTGGCTGTCCATGGTATATTCAGTATTCTTCACCAGCATCATAATTAAAAGGTGTCGATTCTTCTTCAGTCTTCCTTATTCATTGTCCAGTTTTTGCATGCATTGAGGCTATTGAAAACACCATGGCTTGGGTAGGGCCCACCTTAGTCCTTAAAGTGACATCTTTGCTTTTTAACACTTTAAAGAGGTCTTTTGCAGCAGATTTGCCCAATGCAGTATGTCGTTTGCTTTCTTGACTGCTGCTTTTACAGGCATTGATTGTGGGTCCAAGTAAAATGAAATCCTTTACAACTTCAATATTTTCTCTGTTTATCATGATGTTGCTTATTGGTCCAGTTGTGAGGATTTTTGTTTTCTTTATGTTGAGGTGTAATCCATACGGAAGGCTGTCGTCTTTGATCTTCATCGATAAGTACTTCAAGTCCTTTTTGCTTTCAGCAGGCAAGGTTGTGTCATTTGCATATCGCAGGTTGTTAATGAGTCTTCCTCAAATCCTGATGTTCCGTTCTTCTCAGATTATTTGCTCAGCATACAGATTGAATAAGTATGGTGAAAGGATACAAACCTCATGCACACCTTTCCTGACTTTAAATCACACAGTATCCGTCCGCTTGTTCTGTTCGAATGACTGCCTTTTGGTCTAAGTACAGGTTCCTCATGAGCACAGGTCAGTGTTCTGGAATTCCCATTCTTCGCAGTGTTATCCATAATCTGTTACGATCCACACAGTCAAATGCCTTTGCATAGTCAGTAAAACACAGATAAACATCTTTCTGGTATTCACTGCTTTCAGCCATGATCCATCTGACATCAGTAATAATACCCCTTGTTCCACACCCTCTTCTGAATCCGGATTGAATTTCTGGCATTTCTCTGTCAGTGTACTTCTGCAACGCTTTTGAATGATTTTCAGCAAAGTTTTACTTGTGTGTGATATTAATGATATTGTTCGATAATTTCCGCATTCCGTTGGATCACCTTTGTTTGGAATGGGCACAAATATGGATCTCTTCCAGTTGGTTGGCCAGGTAGCTATCTTCCAAATTTTCTGGCATAGACAAGGGAGCACTTACTTCTGGTGCTGCATCCATTTGTTGAAACATCTCAATTGGTATTCTGTCAGTTCCTGGAGGCTTGTTTTTTGCCAGTGCTTTCAGTACAACTTGGACCTCTTCCTCGGTACCATTGGTTCTTGATCATATACTACCTCCAGAAATTGTTGAACATTGACCAGTTCTTTTTGGTACAGTGACTCTGTATATTCCTTCCATCTTCTTTTGATGCTTCCTGGATCGTTTAGTATTTTCATTATAGAATCCTTCAGTATTGCAACTCAGGGCGTGAATTTTTTCTTCAGTTCTTTCGGCTTGAGAAATGCTGAGCGTGTTCTTCCCTTTTGGTTTTTTTATCTCCAAGTCTTTGCTCATTTCATTGTAATACTTTGTCTCCTCATCTTCTGTTTAGCTCTTTTACTTCATCATTTCTTCCTTTCACTTTCGCTACTCCACATTCAAGAGCAAGTTTCAGAGTCTCTTCTGACATCCATTTTGGTCTTTTCTTTTTTTCTTGTCTTTTTAATGGCCTCTTGTTTTCTTCATGTATGATGTCATTCCACAACTCCTCTGGTCTTCTGTCGTTAGTGTTCGGTGCATCAAATCTGTTCTTGAGATGGTCTCTAAATTCAGGTGGGATATACTCAAGGTTGTACTTTGGCTCTTGTGGACTCGTTCTAATTTTCTTCAACTTCGACTTGAACTCCCATATGAGTAATTTATGGTCTATTCCACACTCCGCCCCTGGCCTTGTTCTGACTGATACAGAGCTTTTCCATCATCTCTTTCCACAAATATAGTCGATTTGATTCCTGTATATTCTGTCTGGTGAGGTCCGTATGTCTAATCACTATTTATGTTGTTGGAAAAGGTATTTGCAATGAAGAAGTCCTCGGTCTTGCAGGATTCTGTTATGTGATCTCCAGCGTCATTTCTCTCACCAAGGCCATATTTTCCAACTACTAATCCTTCTTTGTTTCCAGCTTTTGTATTCCAGTTGCCAGTAATTACCAATGCATCATGATTGCATGTTTGATCAGTTTCAGACTGCAGAAGTTGGTAAAAATCTTCAGTTTCCTCATCTTTGGCCTTCGTAGTCGGTGTGTAAATTTGAATAATAGTCGTATTAA